CCGAAAACCACCCACCCCCAAGTTCCCCCACTAAGCAGTGATGTCACCAATAGCCAATCCTGCCACTACAGCTGTTTCATAACATAATTGTGAGTACAGGAGCTGCCAAGAAAACCTGCTGGGCTTTTGCTTGAGTAATCTCACGCTGTGGCTGTTTGAGCAGGAGAGGGAGGAGGAGGAGTGGTTTTCGGCAAATGCCAAGCAAGCTTTCGGGTTTCTAAGAGAAGAGTTTTAACTCAACCCACTCACTTCCTGTGTGCAGCATTGATGGGGAAAGCCCACCCAGGCCAGTAAATTCATCTTGGGGAAACTTAAATCAGCTGTGTCATCCATTTCATGCTCTCTTCTTGTTTTTCCGTAAGCTGTTCTAGGAGGAATGGATGGCCGGACTGGCAAAAAAAGAAGTGAATAAATAATGGGAAACGAAGCATTTGTAGCAGCGGTGGCCGTTTGGCAGCAGCGCAGAGAGCAAGACTCAAGACTTTGAAACAGGCAGCTATGAAGTCAGAAGACAGCCAGGCGTTCTCGCATGCGACGGGAGGCCTGCTGCTTTGCATACTAGCGGTGGCTTCGGGAATATTGGATGGCGCTCACACGGATACTGGCTACGAGCATTACGCTGAGCCAACAGTGCCTGGAATGCCAGCCTTCCTTGCCATGCCAGCCAATTGCTTAATCAATTTGGCCTACGTACTTCTGGGTTGGTATTGGTGGCGAGCGGGTGACAAGAGCAGGCAGGCCTACTTTCAAGAGATCTTTGCCCTCATGGCGCTTTTTTACGGGCCTACGCAATGGGTTCGGCTCTGGACGCAGCATCACCGGGCCGCTGTGTTAGATCAGTTGTTAACGCTACCAATTTTTGCTTGGGTCATTGCTTGGTGCCTCTTTCTTGAAAATGGGTGGGAGCCGTACGTTTTCCTAGCCGTAGAAGTGACTTCACTGTCTAGTTACGTCCTGGCAGTGCTTCACCCACAGGGTTTTGAGTTGGCACTGAGCGGACATATAATTGTTGTTTTTTGGAGAGTGTTGAAAGTGCAAAGACGTTTTGGCAACGCCAGTTCCATCTGGATTATAGTTCTGGGGACGATGTGTTGCTTTGGTTTTGTTAGCCTCAAAGTGTGGGATCGGGAACTGGCGCAGTGGGCATTCTTCTCTCGACTCACTGGTCATTTTTGGTCCAAGGTGTGCGATGTGCTGCAGTTCCACTGTGCTTTTCTCTTCCTTACCTTAATGAGCAGACGCCGGCTAAGCTCAGCGAAATAATCTAAGACATCAATCAACAGACTTAATCAAAGGAGAAACTTGTAACAATACAAGAACATACGGTAATGTGGTTTGAAAGAATTAAAAACTCTTGCTAAAATATGCCAGTTTCTTCAAAAAGGTATTGAAGATAGTTGGTGAAATCCACACAGCATCCACTCAAGTTTATTTCCTGTTGAATATAACGCTGTTTTATAAAACCACATAGGGGAGAAAAAAGTTGCTGGTTTAGGTTCCACCACAAATCTGCGAAGCCTTATCCGCGGAGACATAAGCGCGAAGACTAATTCGCGCCATTCGAAGCGCTAAGGAAAAACGC